TGGCTATCTCATCTCTTCCTTCAGTTTTTGTGTGCCAATTTGAGCTGTTAAAGCGATCCAAAATGCCACTCAAACACCAGTGGTGTAATTTTTATTAGGTGTGTATGTGTAGCTATTAACTGAGAGTGGGGATTATTCCCAATGAGATTATTTTTAATATTCGCTATAGCTGGTCCTATTGTGTGAATTTGATTATCCCTTTTCTACAGTGATGTAACTGTCCAATGCATGAATCCGTGAGTTACAGTTGAATCCTGAACTGTGTTATACCCTTCTAAGTCTATTAAAGTGAATGGGGTTTAGAAGGATGCAACTCTGGTTTAGGATTGCATTGTTAAATGTTCACTTTGGCTTTGGGAAAATTAATGCAAAATAATATAGTATATGATTTTAAAATCCCATGTATTTTGTTGATGAATTTATTTCAGAGTGATGTCTGAACACTCAACAGCTTTTTTAAGTGTTTCGAAATTGTTTTTTTAACTTTCAGTTATGTAGTAAAGTGCAGGTTTTTTTCTCCTCTTGCAGTTTCTGAATTCTTTTTCTTCTCTGATTTGAACTACAGCCTACAACAGAAAGTAGAAAAATGCCTAGAAGATGGTGTACGCCTTCCTATTTTGGATACAAAACAACTTCAGAGTGAAAATGAGAGCCTCAAAGAGAAAAACGAGGAAGCCAGCAAGGTCAGTGCATTAAATTAGTCAGATGGTCCCTCTATGGAGCATTATTACAGGCAAATGAAGTTCATTGGTGGTAAGTGTAGGGGGGTGCACACTGGAACAAAAAATCCCAACTTGTAAGTACATGTTGATAGGATCTGAACTTGCTGAGGCTGAGTCGGGAAAAGATCTTGGGGTTGTAGTAGATAGATCAGTGAAAGTGTCAACCCAGAGAACTGCAGCAGTGAAAAAGGCAAACACTAAGTTGGGGATTATTAGTAAAGGGAATGAAAGTAAAATGGCCAAACACCTCTGTTGTGTTTATGGTGTCACCTCATTTGGAATACAGTGTACAGTTCTGGTCACCATATCTCAAGAAAGGACATTGCTGAGCTACAAATAGTGCAGAAGAGGGCAACCAAGTTGATTAAGGGGTTGGAGCACCTTCCCTATAAGGAAAGACTGAAGAGTCTGGGACTTTTCAGTTTAGAAAACCAAATTTTATAAATCTCTATCATGTCCTCTCTTAGTTGTCTCAATCAGTAGAAAGAGCTGACAAAGAGAACTTTTTCTCCCTCTCCCGAAATACTAGAACTTGAGGGCATCCAATGAATCTGATGGGCAGTTGATTGAGGAGGGATAAAAGGAAATACGTCTTTACACAGTGAGTGATTAAACTGTGGAGTGGCCTGTAAAAGGGGATTTGACAAATTCCTGGAGGATAGGTCTATCAGTAACTACTAGCCATGGAGACTAAAGGGAACTTCCATGTTCAGAGGCAGTCAGCTTCTAAATACCAGTGCCAGAAGGCAACATCAGGAAAAGGCCTCAGCATCTATGCCCTATTGTTGGCCCTCTAGAGGAACTGGTTGGCCACTATGTGTGAGAGGATCCTGAACTAGATGGACTCTGATCCAGCAGGGCTCTTCTTATGTTGCTATAGTCCTGTACGGTGTTGCTGTTCTTCTATTAGTCACCTTTTCCCATGTGTATAGCTTATTGAAATTTTTTTCTTTATTAAAGCATTTACATCCCACCTTTCCTTGTGGTTCATAATAATAAAACCAAAATAAAACAGCAAACCCCAAATAGCTGTGTTAGCTAATTTATTTATTTATTTATTTATTTATTTATTTATTTTGGGATTTATATCCCGCCCTACCCATACGGCCCAGGGCGGCAAACAAGCGGCAATGCCGAGAATAGAACATAAAATACATTTAAGACTTCAATAAATACAACAACTTCAATAAATACAACTAAAAATGGTGCTCTACAGTTCATATTAAAGATTAATTTAAAGTTCATTTTAAAAGTTCCAGATGGTCGATATCCCTCACTGGCGGCCGATAAGATAGACGTAGGAGCACTAGAATGATGTTCCTCTT